ATGAAGACCCTGCGCGGAGAAGTGAGGCTAAGATGTTGCTTTTTTAACTGCCCCTCAATCCTTTTCTCCCTTTCCATTAGGCCCAGATAATCACTGAGGAACACTGACCTCTACTCATCGCCCTATTTCTACTAGGAGATCTCATGGTCTAACTACGGAGAATGTAAAACAGTGTTCCTTCCACGGATTCTTTTTTTCATGTCTTTGAATCACTGTCTAGGGTCCCCCACTATGGCTTGTCTCTCTCTGAGCAGCCACAGCCAGGACAGCCCTGTCTACAGCAGTAGCTGGGGCTCCTCTCCAGACAGCGCATGTCCCAAAGGCACAGCAGTTGGGATGCAACCTTACTGGTAAAATGGTGAATGACATCAGTGTTCATGTACAAAACATGAGTAGGTACAGAGGTGGCAGTTATATAATCTGTCAACTTGCGAAGGGATGGAGTCTAGCCTGTCAACCAGGTCAGTTTGATGACCTCCTTTGGAGGCACGAAGGAGATAAATAGCTCACTGGAGGCCAGATACACACTGCTACACATTCCTGTTGACAAGCCACGTGGAGCTACACTGATGGAGCCAGAGGAGCCACGTCCACAATTGCACTGAGATGTTCCCACTCCACTGGATCCATGAAACTTTCTACCCACTGGCCTGTGATCTCCCTGCATTCGGCATTATTGTATGTGTTGCGTGAGTCTGAAGAGGAATTTATAGACTGGTATTAGACATATGGGCTAATATGGGAATATGGAGTTGATCTAGACTAGGCTGGGATGTTTTCTTAATAAACAATTACTCTTTATAGAAAGCTCCTTCTTATACATGAGTTTATGAATTTGTCTCTCTAGTCAACTCACACTAACACAACACACAGAACATGGAACCCCACTTGGCAAATCCAGTGGAAATTCCCCTTGGAGGAGTTGAAGGAGACTCTCTTTGTTTAACAAACCTGCAGACCATTCAATGAGTGTTCCCAACAGCACATGGATTTTGTCATTTTGCTTAATAGCATTTTTTTCTATGTAAGAGGTTGAATTTTGAAAGTAGGATGAATAAATGCTCAGAATGGCTTCACCCTTATCAGCCAGGCTTGGGCCAGAGAAAGCTGGGGACAGCAAGCAGGGATCTCTTTAGGGCGGCGGTGTGAACTTTAAACTGCATCAACGCAGACCAAATGGGAAGGATAGGGTGCATGGTAAATGAGGGACTGGGCGAGAATGTAATGCAGCCTCTATGCTCCTACACTAGAACCCTGCTACTCGACTGCCTCAGTACTCGACCTAATCAGATTTCAATGCGAAAAGTTGAGATAATTTTGCATTGGGGCTTGAACAAAACATTGGAATCTGACTCCATGCACATGATTTTTGTAAACAAAAGCAGCTCATGTTTCAGTCTCTCAGCGTTAGTTGGCATTGCTAATACGAGTTGTTTATAAATCTTTTGCGGCCGTGTTCCAAGCGTTTTGCTATAATTTTCTTGGTGTTTGTGGCTTTTTGTAGGGTTTTTAGATTAAAAACACATGGGTCCTAAGGATTAATGCGTTTTCAGTTATTTCTTATGGGAAAAATTGATTCGCAACTCAACTGCATCACATCTCAATGCTCCTTCTAGAATGGATTGGGGTCAAAGTCTGAGGTTCTACTGTAATTATGAGTCTGGAAAGCCGACTGGTGGGGTAAGACCCTCATGGTTATATGAGAAAATATTAAATGCACACTCTCATGATTGGACACAGTCCCTCCAATACCCTACCTCCTCCCAATAAAGGAGCTACCATAAAAGGTGAATTATTCCTGTGTATGGCTAGTCTCTGTGCCTAGAGGTTGTCTGTAGACAAAAGCAATCAGGTTCCACAGACAACCCAATGTAAAATGTAACCAACTGTTTTGACTCTCTTGCTGATACTGCTCAGAGTACTACCCGGGGGGAAGGGTCAGGGGCATTCCAGGTCAACAAGCACTGAAAACACATTCACTCTCTGTCCTGACATCGGATGAGGAGCCCCAGTGCCCCACGGTCTGTCAGTGTCTATTATTTCCCACAATCAAGTCTCTCCTGAGGACCTGTATCGGGGACACCCCCCTCCAATACCCAAAAAGAGGTTGAAGGTGTGCTGACAAGGATGGGAGGGATATGTTTGCACTGGAAAGATGGGAATGCGAGTGGGGAAACTGTGGTCAGAGAAGTAAGCTTGAGTCAGCAGGAATGGGGCAGGGGTCTGGCAGTGAAGGGAAAGATCCAGACGATGTACAGGCCTGGGCAGAAGGTCTTTTGAACAATGTGGGACAGTGCAGATGCAGTCAGTATGGGGCAAAATCTGATCTTTCCTTCTCCCGGAATAGGCACCCCCTGACCTTCCTGGTCTGCAGGTCACGAACATCAAATACATTTGAACCTCAGACTTCTCATATGTATCAATTTCTAGTATCCTTTGGATCGCAACAATTCATCTCAAACAATTTCGGATCAGGAACTGCCTCATGTGGGCCACATCTATTGGAAACTTACACATTTTCCTCAAAACAGGTGAAGTGAGTAAAAGCAAAAAAGCCCTTTGGAGCGCAAGTGAAGACCTGCAGCCAGCATGCCAGGAGCAAGGCACTCAGAGATGGGGCGCTGGGACTTCATGTGGGTCTGTCGCAGTGCAGGGATGCGATTCTGGGGGGTCCTTACAGAAACAGCACCAGTGTGGAACTAGTCTCGTTTTCAGGAGAAGCCAGGCCACCACTAAGCACAGTGGCTGTTGGGTGGCACTTTCCTGAGTCACGCAGAGCTAAGGAGGTTACCCTTCCAACACAGTAGGTAGGGCTGAGTGGTGGGACCAGGTAACAGTGCTTGAGAGCCAAGGCTACCCATACATTATTCATTCATTTTTTACAATAATAGGGGCAAGTAAGTCCAAGAACTTGACCATGGCCACACAGATAAAGAGGGAGCAGAAACTAGGCTACATAAGCTCTTCAACAAAAGAAAGGCAGAGCTCCCGGGAAAATGGACTACCAGTGAAGGAACAGAGGACAAAGATTCACATCTCACCCATCCTCTCCTGAGGCCTGTATCCACTCGGCTATCCAAAAACGACGATGATCTGAGAAACACCGAAGACCCGGGGACCCTTCCGTCCACACTCCAATGTAAGTCATCACATCTCTGCATTCGGGAAAAAGCCCAAGGTCTCTGTAGTGCTTCCAACTGCATCGCCCCAAACATGGGTCATTTCAAGACCAGGTCAGGTTTGAGTCTCACACTGGCACAACTGCAACCTTAAGTTTAAGATGGATAATTGCATGTGGGCGGCACAGAAAGACCTTTTTTAAAGTATTTTGAGTTTTCTATTACTACATTTAGGTGACCAGAGCCAGGGATTTAAAATATGTCAAGAGTCTAGGTGTGGTGCCCCTCCCAGATAGTCAATACATAGAACACTTTAGTGACAGAAACGGAAGGGTGTGGAAAACGGTAAGAGGGCCGTGAACCTCTTTAATGCAGCTGCTCAGAACTGTGATCTTCAGCTCTGGGAATGGTCAACTACTCTGTCTCTCTCTCTTACAGACCTCTGGTTACCTGCCCAGTGGATGCCAACTCATGCCGACCCTTCGTAGGGCACAATGACAGACCGGGGCCATCTTCATGATCGTTGGCATAATTGAGGCCTGCAGGACAACATTCTGTTAGGATCTCCAGGGGCTTCACTGGTTACTTTTCAGAAGATGATCACCAGGCCTTTCCTCCTAGTCTACTTGGAGCCTGGAAGTTTCCCTGAAACCAGTTCACCAGGGTGACTTTGAAACACCCTGGCACGGCTTCTCGCATCACGGCAACACGCCAGCCCCCAAATCATCACAAAGTGCCAACCAAGCCATTGTTCACAGAGACGGAAACAAAACGAGGGAATCCGTTACTGTTGTGCCCATTTTCATTCACAGCAGCCTGCCAGGACTGAGCAGAACTGCTCTGCAGGGTTCCGCAGGCCTTGATCTCTACGAAAGGCCACGGCTAGATCTTCCTACTGAGCAGACTTGTGGGTTCCCAGCACTCACTGCCAGTGCGTTACCGCTGTGCCACGGGCACCGTACGAGCATGTGGAAGAACCTACTAAAGGCAAACGGGAACATTTTGAAAACGGAGTAAATAAAGTGATTACCAAGGAAAGCTAGCCTTTACAATGGAATCCCAATGAATAGGTGCAGAATAAATGCTAGGAATGGGGAACTTGCCATTTTTTTGCACTTGGTTGAACAGTGACAAGTGTACTTCTGTTCCCACATCTGAAAATGGCTGAAAGGTGACGAGGCAACACATTTTCACTTATGTTAGTTGATGCGGTCAGTAAGCCTGAAGCAATATAGTTCTCTACAGGAGCTGGCTGTAAGACACAGTCATAGTTTTAAATAGCTGGCCAACAACATGCTCAAACCACATTAATAATCATTTCAGGTTTTTATCAATAGATGTACAGGAAGCAGACAAAAATGAGGTGCAAAACACAGGAACAGAGGTTTAAACATGTGAAAACAAAGTCCAACCCACCATCCAAATACAAATCCAGTGCATTTTACTGCCCACGAGTTAACACCAACGAAAACTTTGAACCCACACTCGCTCAGCAGGCTTCACAGCAGCCTTATTGGTGATACTCCAAGACTGCAGGAAGGGAGAAGATGTCACGGAAGAAGAAAAGAACCATCGAAGGGCCGTTCACAGGACTGGAGGCTGAAGGCTAATAAAACAGCTGCACAGTGACCGTGAGCTCTCACTCCTCCCAAAGGCACAAAGCAACCCCAATCACACCTCCCTTCTATTTTGTCTTTCTTACCGTTACTGAAAGGCTGTCACATCCCTTAAACTCGCATGTCCTGTCTCCACTGTGGATTCTTGAATGTCCAGTGAAGTCTGAGGACCAACCAAAGCCTTTGCCACAATCCTTACATTCATAAGGCCTCTCTCCCTTGTGAATTCTCTGATGTGGAATGAGGGCTGATTGATGAGCAAAGGCTTTGCCACAATCCTTACATTCATAAGGCCTCTCTCCCTTGTGAATTCTCCTATGTGGAATGAGGCTGTAGGAGCGAGTAAAGGCTTTCCCACACTCCTTACATTCAGAAAGCTCTCTGTACTGTGAATTTCCTATGTGCAGTGAGACCCAGAGGACAAAAGGTTTTCCTACATTCGTAAGGCCTCTCCACTGTGGTTTCTTCCTCTGCGTGCAAAAAGCTGTGGTGACTGAGGCTTTCCCACAATCCTTAGTCATAAGGTATCTCTCCCTGAGTTTAGTGAGTTGTTCCAAAGGCCCAGTAAGTGCTTACCCACATAGCGTACATTCATAAGGCCTCTCTCCACTGGGAGAAATCCTATGTGAACTGAGGAATAAGCACAGGTCTTTGCCACATTCCTTACATTCATCAGGCTTCTTTCCACAGTGAATTCTGATATGTTGAGTGAGGAATGAGGAGTAATTAAAATCTTTGCCACACTCCATACATTCATAAGATCTATTTAATGTGAGCTTTACATTTAATGCGCGTTGAGGTATGACTAGAGGCTTTGCAACATTACCCTTAAGGCTTCTATCCGCTGTGAACCCTTATATGTCTAATGAGGTGAGATGGCTGATTAAAGCCTTTGCCACACTCCTTACATTCATAAGGCCTCTCTCCACTGTGAATTCTCATATGTGGAATGAGGGCTGATTGATGTTTGAGAGCTTTGCCACATTCTTTACATTCATAAAGCCTCTCTCCCCTGTGAATTCTATGTGGAATGAGGGAGGATTGATGAGCAAAGGCTTTGCCACACTCCTTACATTCATAAGGCCTCTCTCCACTGTGTGTTCTACTATGTTTAATGAGGCTAGAGGAGCAGTTGAACGCTTTGCCACACACCTTACATTCATAAGGTTTCTCTCCAGTGTGAACCCTTACATGTATAAGGAGGTGGGAAGATAGAATAAAGGCTTTCCCACATACCTTACGTTCAAAAGGCTTCTCTCCACGGTGAATTATGTTGTGTTTTTTGAGGTAAGAGGACAAACTAAATGCTTTCCCACAGACCTTACATTCAAAAGGCTTCTCTCCACTGTGAACCCTTATATGTCTAAGGAGCATGTAGAAAAGAATAAATGTTTTCCCACACACCTTACATTCCTAAGGCCGCTCTCCACTGTGCGTTCTAACGTGTGCAGTTAGTTTTGAGGGGTAAGAAAAGGTTCTGCCACATTCCTTACACACATAAGGCCTGTCTCCACTGGGAGTTTTCCTACGATGAATGAGAGATGAGGAATAAGGCCTCTCTCCACTGTGAGTTCTAAGATGCACGGTGAGCTGTGAAGAATCACGAAAGGCTCTGCCACATTCCTCGCATCTGTGAAGGCTCTCTTTACCCTGCATTCTTTTATGTGCAGTGAGGTCTGAGGACTGACGAAATGATTTCCCACAGAGCTCACCTTCAAAAGGCCTGTCTCCACTGTGGGTTTTCATATGCCTAGCCAAGTGTGCCACAAGAGGAAAGACTTTGCCACATGCCTTACAATCAACAGGCCTCTGTTCACTGTGACGTCTTAAATGTACCAGGACCTCGGAGGATTTATCGACGGTGTTTCCAGTCCTTACATTCCTTCGATGTCTCACCAGGAAGAGTTCTCACGGGACCGCGGGAATAAGGAGGACGTCCTGATTGGTGTTACCGTCAGAGTGTAAACTCGTCTGACGCTGAAGAGATGGTGACGATTGGTCCATGGAGGATGTCCCACAATGAAGGGACACTGAAGGATATGGTTTATTAGAACTTCTTTTGAGTATGTGAAGATCTGGAATCCTGCTGAAGTTCTGTCCACACTGACTTTTCTTCTTAATTTCACAGACAGTCTGTTCAATATGTCTTCTGCTAAAAACAGTAGCAAGCAGTTAGATCCGTTGTGATTACAATTCGCTATGACCATCGCAATAGACATGTACTTTGAACTGCTCCAACTCTCCAAGATCACATCACGCACAGAGAAGCTCCTGTTCATTTCACTCTACTTCCGTCATGACGGGTTTCTAATTGTGCATAAATGAATTATGTTTTGAATATTCAATATCTAATTCACATTTATAAACATAGTTTGAAATTTCTTGGACACAGAATATTAGATCTGCTGTATAGATACACACCTTGTGTATATATATATTATACACATATACACACATACTCAACACATGGTCATCAAGCGCACGTCCACTCACAGTGATCGGTAGGACAGAGCACAACTGTCGCTGTGCATTTCCAAGACTGTAACTTTTATGGGCATAGAAAGCCTGTCTTTCTCCCAAAGGTTGGCTTTGGGTTTCGAAAGGCAGACCTTGTTGTTAGCAGCTGAACCAGGCACCGCCATGCCACCATGCCTCACTGTATTCATTAAACTGTAAAGGGGTGATGCTCACCAAAATCGGAATGGCTGGCGTGTGAGGATTAGCAAGCCCTCAGATGGCCATACTATGAGGAGTAAGTGCCACAGCTCTGAATGCAGTGTGCTAGAACAGAAAACTGTCTAAGGCACTCCAAGCATCTGAGAACATCTTCAGGACAATCCGAACCTCACTTCCTTCTTCCCCTCTGGGCCATAAACAAACTTGCTAAAATATTCATACTAATTTGTTTGCCTTAAGATAATGATTGACAGAACCTTTTGTGTGGGAACTTGTCGCTGGATGTACAGTGTGTGACAAGAACTGTATAAAAGCCTTCTTTGAATAAAGAACTGGGTCTTGGAGCATCAGCTCCATGTGCCCCTTGTGCTGAACTTTCTACTTTTTATTTGCGCCGTGCCCTTTTGTCCCATCGATTTGTGGGTTGGCTTTCACTCTGTGGCTTCAACACATTGAGTGGCACTGCCATGAGTCATAATATTCAACAGGACAGGGTTTCTGAGCCTGCACTATGATTGCTACTGTGCCTACCTGTATATGTACACACACACATGCTTATACACATAGACAAAGGGGGTTCCAAAAGCTCATGGGTCATATTATCTTTTCATTCCATTTCCCCACTACTTGAAGACCTACAGTGCAGAAATATTTTAATGAAATCAGTGTGCTTTCAGATTCCCTCTGCAGCGCTGCTATCTAGTGACTGATACTCACCTCCCAGGAGGGCTCTGCTGGTGGTCCTGATCTTCAGTGACATGAGAGCCACATATTTCTCCTACCACGGAGGACCACGTGCCACATTGCAGCAATTGTATGATTGTATTTTCGGCGGACAGCTGTTCTCCATCACCAAGGTTTGGTGAAACTGACCCAATGGTACAAGTGGCTGTTCGCAAAATAAAGCAAGAAGAAAAGGCATCACTCAAAGGGAACAAGGCGCTGTAAGTAAAAAACAAACACATTTTGCCATTTCATACGCTGGCAGTGATCCAAAAGAAATTGACTAGGAAAGACTCCCATGAAGATTTGAGATGGCTGACACATAAATAGGGGCTAAAAAGAAAGATATTGGGCACAATCCACATGGAATGCTAAGAGGGAATAAAAGGATGATCGTTCTCCAAGAACACAGGTGTGTTAGTGAAAGAGGGGCTTCAACAGTTTGTTCATTCAAAAACTGGAAATACAGTCTAAGATTTAATGTGTCAAAAATACAATGGGTAACAGCCACCTCTCCTGACCCACACACACACACACACAAATGCTCTTATGTTCAATCAGTAGAGAGGCTGGAACTCAGGACGGCAGCTAGGGAGATCACTAATGTATCAGGCAGGAAGTACTGCCCATTCAGAGGCCTTAAGAGGCAGTAGTCTGTTGAGGGAAAGACGAGAGAACGGCCCAACTGGGAATAACAAGGATGCACGAGGCGTTGGGGCGTTTTGGTCTCATGCCCCTCGGAAAAACGTAGATGTCATTTCCAAATGATCATTGTGAAAACTCCCTTATCTCTTCTTGCTACCACTTATCTGTCAGTCTGTGATGTGCACACTATATCACTGGTATTTCATATTCAGGCAGGGCCACACGAGTGAACAGGTTTCAGCCGAGCTTTCAGACTAAGAACAGACAAAGAAATCACATGCTCACTTAGAAGGAAGTAGGTGCTCACAATGCTAGGCGCAGCTGCAGAAGACTGCCAGAGGCTGAAGGCCTACTGCACCGGAGCAGACCACTGTGGGAGGCAGTGCCAGAGGTGGAGATGCTTTCTCAAAGTAGAGTCTGCCACGGTGCTGTGAATGGAGTGAAGGCTGGTGTTTTTCAGAATGGTCATTTGCTGAAGAGGCGCGACTCAATGCCAAGAAGAAACAGCTGCAAAACTCTGCTACTAATAAGTCAGAATGTGCTCAGTATGACACTAGGAAATTTGGGAGTTGTCAAAAATAAAGTAGAAGGCATAAAGATCAATAAATATAGGCATTACTGAGTGTAAATGTGCGGGCATTGGCCATTTTGAATCAGAAAAACAATATATACTATTGTGCTACTCTGGGTTGACTAGAGAAGCAAATTCATAGACACTCATATGTGTGTAAGAGAGCTTTATATAAAAGAGTAATTGTACATTGAGAAAACATCCCATCCCAGTCAGATCAAGTCCATAAGTCCAGTATTAGCCCACATGTCCCAATATTAGTCCATGAATTCTTCTACAGACTCACACAGCACACGCAATGATACCGAAAGCAGGAAGATCACAGGCCAGTGGGTGAAAAGTCTTGTGGAAGCATCTCAGCATGGCGTGGGTCTCCACATGGCTCCTCAGCTCCAGGGCTCCGGATCCATCAGTATAGCCCCACGGGGCTTGCCAACAGGAATGTCTCGCAGGGAGACAAAGCAGAGAGTGTGTGTGTCCCACCTCCAGGGAGGAAGACAGGAGTTTCCAGAAATGCACACAGAGTGTTCCTTAGAAGAAGGATGGCAAGCCTGTGACGATATCATCAGGGCAGTCCAGTTCCTGGAGAAGGGCATTGTGCTTGGTGAAGTGGAGAGACACTGAAGATGAGGAAGACCCTCAGGGAGCTGGATGGGCACAGTGGTTGCAACCATGGGCTCCAGCATGGGCACAATTCCGAGGATGGTGCAGGGCCCCTGGTTGGTACCTAACCGCCCCACCACCACCACCACCTTTTCCTGTGGTCATTGTGAAAACTTGCGCCTGTCACACAGTTGCAGATATATACTTTACTCTTAATTGAATGTCTGATATGGTTTGTAGGTGAGAAACCCCACTGTTTCCTTCTGTCTCTCCTTTCTGAAGAAAGTTAAAAGAGCTTCTCAAATCCACCTGGTCTTTGTCTCTGGACGGAAACCGGGACAGGAGATCCCGGACCTCCCTCATTTGCCAACACCCTTAGGATTGGTAAAAGCCAGAAAAGCGGGACCGGCCATCTGTGAAACACAGATGCCTCAAACGTTTCTCCACTCTTTGTTCAAAGCTCACCCCCTTCACACAAATGTCTGAAATCAAGGGATCTCTCTTTTTTTAAAATAATTAAATCATTTTATTGGGGGCTTGTACAACTCATCACAATCCACATACATCCATTATGTCAAGCGCTTTTGTACATCTGTTTCCCTCATCATTCTCAAAACATTTGTTTCCTTCATCATTCTCAAAACATTTGCTTTCTGCTAGAGCCCTTGGTATCAGCTCCTCATTTTCCCCCCTCCCTCCTTGCTCCCCCCTCCCCCACGAACCCTTGATAATTTATAAATTTTTATTATTTTGTCATAAAGGATCTCTTCTCCTAGAGCCTTTTCCGTCGCCTTGATTTTACCCGTGTTAAGGTAGGGTGGAGTCAAGCCTTTCAATTGGGTGGCAGATGGGTGACACCTCCTTGGGGCTGTGGCCTCTTTAATGAAAGACATGGGGTAGAGGCAATTTCACGTTTGTCCTCCGTCTTCCTGCTTGCTGGGACCGCTGTGTCTCCATCCACAGATGGCCCCATATGGTCCTGCCCACCCAGAGTTCGGCTGTCAACTGCCATGTTTCTACTGACTTTGCATCCATGAAACTGAACTCATGCAGCCTGTGATCTCCCCGTGGCTTGCCTCACCACTCGGCATCACCGGCCTGCAGCACGTGAGTAGCAGGAGGGCTCCCCCTAACATTGGACTCATAGGCTTGAAGATGGCTGGGCATATAGGCTTGAATTGGACTCCCCCTAACATTGGACTCATAGGCTTGAAGATGGCTGGGCATACAGGCTTGAATTGGACTCCCCCTCACATTGGACTCATAGACTTCATTGGGCAGGGCATGAAGTTCTTCTTGATAAAAGATGACTTCTTGATATAAAGCTCTTCATTATACACATGACTGTCAATGGTTTTGTTTCTCTAGACAACCCAGCCAAACGCAGGCCCCCAACACACTGGCGCAGGATGAGGTCTAACTGTGTAGCTAACACGCTGCTCATGAAGAAAAGTACGTCGTAAGGAAACACTGAAAGGACAACACCTCTTCCCTGACGCTGAGACAACACTTTGTTCCTCAAGGGCTGGAGTTTGGGCCGGGGTAAATTCACTGACAGCAAAACCATCATGTTAAACTTGTCATACACACTGAACACAAATGTCCTGTGTACACCAATGAAAGTCAAGGTTTATATTTATTACACTTAAGCTCAAAGCTCTTAGTCACAATTGAAATAAGTTAGTTTAATGCTAAGAGCTGTATATTCGGGGGGAAGCCATAAGAGCATATGGCTACATCTGTTTTATTTAACAAGGTATTCCCATTACTCAGACCACATACTGGAGTAATATCAATGGTAGGACTTACTGGATCACTATACATTTGAAAAGAGGACAGCATTCATACCTACTGAGGCCAGGTTTCTGAAAGTTTCCATCATCACGTGTCTGTAGAGTTTCCTCTGAGGACGATCCAGCAAGGCCCACTCTTCCGGGGAAAAGTCGACAACCACGTCTTCAACAGCCACGGCGTCCTGAAACAGCCCACACGCTAGTTCAACAAGGTACCGTGAACTCCAATAGGTGAAAGGCGGGGGAGGAGGACAGTCCTGGAAGCTGAGACGTCATGGACATCAGACACAGGGTTCTGTGTTCTGCTAAGGATGGCCATCAGGGGAGAGCTATTGGCCTCATTCCATCACTGTCTAGACTCACTTCCTCTCTCATTACACGTCATCCCACAGACTGGACATCTCTTCTGGCACAATGTGCTTCTGTCTCCACAGTTGATCTGTGACCAACTCAAACACACAGCCATCCAGTGGAGTCTTAGTCATACAGACCCTGTTGGACATGCTAGACCTGGCCTGTGGGTTTCTGGGACGGTAACACTTGATGAGAGTAGAGAGCCTCGTCTTTGTACTGTGGAACAGGTGCTGGTTTCTAACTACTGACCCGGGCGTTAGCAACCCAGTGCACAGCCCACTACACCACACAGACCCAGAGGGTCACGAGACGTTGGGAGTACCTTTAATGGCATCTAACAACTACAAAGGTATTCCTTAAATGATTCTAATTACGGAAGTCAAAGGGAAACATCGGTCCTCAAAACTGTGGGGGACACACAGGCCATTTGCACTGGATTTTACGCTGTAATCATTCTGTGTATCTGCCTCTGGCACCCTCAGTGTGGGCTAGCCTTTCATCCTGTGGCCTCAGTCGTCTGATTTGTGGAATGCAGTGAAAACAGTGAGTTGAAGGACGTGGTACAATGAACCCAGGAGCAGCAGAAAAGAGATTGTGCCCAGAGGAGAACACGCCAGACCACAGGGCAGCAGCGGGGAGTGTGCCTGTTAATGTTTTTAGGATACTCAACCCCCAGCTTGACCAAATAAATGTCGATAAGGATAAAAGGTGTCAGAAAAGAGATTTGAGATTTAATGAGAAACTATTACCCAAATACACTGAAGTCAATAAGTAAGAGCATGCTCCTAAGCAGCTGTCGTATCAATAGATCATTGTTTCCAATAGAGTCACAACAATTTTTGTTTTACTTCATAAGAGCCCATAAAGAATGTGTCTCTAAATGCATTTAGCCACAAATAACCAAGAAATTGTAAAAAATAAGCCCTGCACATATAACTCCCTGCCACCGCAGATAGTCCAACTCATAGCAAACCGGTCAGAGGACACTGCCCAACTGGATTCCCAGGACTGTCCATCTTTACAGAAGCAAGCAAAATCACCGTTCTCCTGCACATTTTTGGTGAGCCTGAATAGCCCACTTTGCAGGCAGCAGGCCAATGCTTAACCTAACGTGACACCAGGGCGCCTTTGTTCACATATACACATATACAACTGTATTCAAACAAATTTGATGTTTTGTGTCCCAGAGGAACTCCTAAAAGACCAACAGAAACAGATAAGCAGCCAGTGGTCGTTACATAATCTGGTGTCAATTTCAGAGGATCTCAAGTGAAAGTGTGTTAGTCCGGGTACTTTAGGGAAACAAATCCACACAAACTCATGTTTAAGAGAGAGTTTTATATAAAGGTTAAGTGCGCATCAAGAAAACATCCCAACCCAGTGCTGCCCAAGTCCACCATTAACCCATTAACCCATACGTCCAACACCAATCCACAAAGTCCTCCTCCATCTCACAAAACAGATGCAATGATGCCGACTGCAGGAGGAAAGCCGAGTCAGTGAATGTGTAAGCATCTCAGCACTGGCAGGGGTCTCCACACGGTTGCTCCAGCACCCAGGGCTGCATCAAGGTAGGTCCATGTGGCTTCTCCTCAGGGATGTCTTGCAGGAAGTGAGCCTTGGCAGCTGGAGCAGGGAACTGGCTAAGGCAACTGCACCCTGGTCCGACCATCACAAAGCAAGAGACCGGAGAACTAGAAAGGTGAGGCTCACCGAGCCATGTATCCCTCCGCCCTTCAATTAACCCATGTGTTTATAGGCTAGGTTGGCACAATAAACTACCTACCTCAGAGGGAGTGGAGTCTGGCCTGTCAATCAAGATTTAGCCAATGAGACCTCTTTGTGTGCATAGCCTTCCCGAGAATCCTGGGAGACGGGAGACACATCTCTCTCTCTGATCACTCCCTGGAAGCCACTCTACTGACAAGACACATGGAACTACGCTAATGCCCTTAGCTGGAGAAGCCACGTGGAGACCCCTGCCAGCGCTGAGATACTTACACTCCCACTGGATCCGAAGACTCTCTACCCACTGGCCTATGATCTTTCTGCATTAGTGTCATTGCATGTGTTTTGTTGAGTCTTAAGAGGACTTAATAGATCGGTATTGGACATCTGGGCTAATATTGGACTTAGGGACTTGATCTGGACTGGGCTGGGATGTTTTCTCCATATCCAACTGCTCTTGTTTATAAACCTCTTACTTATACACATGAGTCTCTGTGAATTTGTTTCTCTAGTCTACCCAGACTAACACACAGGCCCGGAAAGGCCCATGCAATTTCTGAGGGAAGTTGATTCACGGTACAGAAAGCAATGCAGGGCACTTACCCTCTAAGGTGTGGGTCCCTAAATGGTCTCCCTGAATAGTGTGAAAAATGGACTGCTCCACTACCAAAAAAAAAAAGTTGGAGGTTGAAGGCAAGGTACAAGTACTTGGAATCAAGATGTGTGACCAAAGTCTGACAAGTCAGCCACTGGAAACCCGTGGACTGGAGCTTTACTCTGACGCACTCCGCGTCACCACGTGGAATCAAGTGGAAGGGTTAGCGCTGACTATGCAGAAAGATCCAAACAGGCAAAACTAAACTGCATAGAGTTTGTGCATTAAGACTTGCCATACATTGACAAAGCGTTAAACATGAAAGACAGTTCCACAAAAGTAATTTACAAAGTCCTGGGAAAAGCCCCTCATTTCACAGACCTTGTCTGATTGTAGAGGGTTTATAGATCTGAACTTTGGAAACCTCATCCTGGAGTTCACGTTTCTAGTCACTAGAGGAGCCTTGTGGCTCCTGTGTCCAGCTGCCAACTGCAAAGTCAGTCGTTACCGCCCGTCCTGCAGGGTCGCTATGCTATTCGCTGGAATCACCTTGAAGGCATTGAGTTTGAAGTTGTTGAGAGCAAGCTTGGTCAAACCAAATAGTCGACAGCATGCGAGTGTGTACTTGTGAAAAAATGGGAAAACTACAAACAGAGATGGATGCTGGGCAGTGTGGAGGAGTTGCAGGGTTACATATGGGGCTGCTAACTGTAAGGTCAGCAGTTTAAGACCACCAGCCATTCTGGGAGACAACGATGAGGTTTTCTACTCCCATAAAAAGTTAGGATGAACATAATAAAAATGTATCATTTATCAAGGGGTAGGAATGGGGTGGGAGGGAAAAAAGAGGAGCTGATACCAAGGGCTCAAATAGAAAGTAAACGTTTAGAAAATAATGGCAACCTATGTACAAATATGCTTGACACAATTGATGCATGGATTGTTATAGGAGCTGTAAGAGCTCCCACAAAATTATCTTTTAGTGAAAGAATTAAAAATGAGTTGGTCTCAGAAAGCACAGGGGTAGTTCTACACTGACCTATAGGATTGCTATCAGTTGGAGTTGACTCAATGACAGTGAGTCCTTAAGTGCTTTTATGAAAGTTCAGGCAACATGTTCCTTAAATAATGTCAATTCTAAGCTCCTGTTTGTGTAAGAGAGGGGAAATAACAGGTTTATTTGAATTGCCACTCTGACATCCACTCAACTAAGCATTTTTCTGTATTTGAGAAAGTGCTGTGCCCTAAATTGAAAATGACTCTGTAGAAGCACCAGGGGCTCCAGAAATGTTCTGCGAACAGGAACGGTGAACCCAAGCAGTGCCGCGCAGCATCTCAGATGATGAGCCCAGCCAGCAGCAAAGAGCACTTTTGACAGATTCTCATTCCACACAGTGGAGAGTGGTTGGGATTAAGTACAGGGACTTAATCCCAGCTCCAGCAGATGGGTGGCTGAGTTAATACACTGGGAAAACAGCCCTCTCCCACAGTGGAAAGCCTCTAGGAAGTCGCATCCCTCTAAATTAGACAGATCTGGAAAGCCCACCTGGTGGAACTCCCCGTCCCAGGTGCCTCATTCATTGAAGAATCCATAGGACGGTGGTAGTTATATAATCTGTTGTCAGTTTGAGAGGATTAAGAGCAGAGGGGTGGATTTAGCCTGTCAATCAGGTCACAGCTTGACGACTTCATTTGGAAGAGCTAAGGAGATAAAGAGCTCGCTGGCAGCAGGTCGCAGGCTGACTCCCTGAGCGATATCCCTGTTGAGAAGACACACAGAGAGCGGCTGATGGAGTCAGAGCTCTGGACCTGAAGGAGCCACGTGGAGACCCCTGGCAGCACTGAGATGCTTATAATGACACTGGATCCATAAGACTTACAACACCACTGGATCCATAAGACTTTCGACCCACTGGCGTGTGATCTTCCTGCATTCGGCGTCATTGCATGTGCTCCATGAGTCTGAAGAAGAATTTAGATTGGTATCGGACCTATGGGCTAATATCAAACTTATACACTTGATCTGGACTGGGCTTGGCTGTTTTCTCAATATTCAATTGCTCTTGTATATAAAGCTCTTTCTTACACACGAGTGTTTGTGAATTTGTTTCTCTAGTCTACCCAGACTAACAACAAGGACCACGCCCAGACAGGACTCCATTAAGAGGCAGCACTTTCTGCTATTAACTCTATTTCATTTTCTAACACATTACACAGTGGAAAAAGATGGAACTGTTATTTTAGAACTGTTATAGAAAAGGATCCAGCGTCAGGCTGTGGGGAGAGGGAGGGAGAAACAAAGAAAGTATTTGCAGAAATGGAATAAGGGCGGCTCTGGAGAACCTTGGGTTCAGGTTCCGCAAAAAGTTTAAATCCCTATTTAGACTCTGGTCACACAGTTCTGTTATTGCACACAGAGAACCAAGACCCAGGATGGCGATGGTGACTCCTTATGATGGCAGCTCTAAGGGTGCCATAAAGAAGGTAACCCCCGGCACGTAAGGCTTGGAAAACCACCTCGGCCCACAGCAAAGGCCAAGAACCGGTCGAGCTGAGTCCCAGGATGCGTCTTTGTGCTCAGGTCCATGACTTCCTCCGCCACCTTTGAACTTTACTAAAGAACTCCAGGGCTAGCAGGAAACAGGCCCCCACTATTTGCAGCCAGCCTGCACCCTTGGTTACCAGACCTTCGTTTCTGTGGCACTTACCATCCAGCCTCCGGAATCTTGTTGAATGTGCTTCCGGGGCCCAAGAACCCACGTCACACAGAGGGTTGGGAGTGGAAGCAGAGCCACTAGGCAGTTTGGACACAGATGAATGCTGCCTGGTCCACAGTCAGTCAGAACGGGAAAACCCAGACTAGAGCTGCCAGGGGTGAGCAAGAAGGTCGTCTTTGGTCTATAGTTGCCTCGAACAGACCAGGTCTCCATTCATCACACCTGGGACCTGAAATGGAAGGGCACACATGTGAGGAAGGAGAAAGTGCCAGGATCTCAGCCTTTGACTCTTGCCCTGGTTGGAACTTCCTCCAAGGTTCAAGGTCATGTTCCATCCTGACAGTATGTGCACTTAAGGCTGATGCTGCTCGAGCATCCCAGAACACAGACTTGCATTGTTCATGTCCTTCCCAGGCCCCTTCCACTATCAACAAGGGCAAAGTCCATGGAGTGTCCACATCCAAGAACATGCGGAGCATCTAGGCCTGCCCAGTCTAGAAACGTGAACCTCCTGACGCAGAGAGAGCTCTGACATGAGAGGAATGGAGGAGGGGCAGCAGCAGAACCAGAAGCAGGAGCTGGAGCAGGACAGAGTGCTGGGCTCCCCGAGACACACAGACAGTAACACTGAGTCCATTGGGGGAGCGGGCTAGCATGTGGAGGGGTGCCTATAGGTCCTTAATTGCAGGAGCGGGGTTTACTGACCCACGTGAGCTGCTCGTGAATGCCTTGGCACTGAGGCTGAAAGCAGGGGGACACACGCTTTGTCCATTTATTAGCAGCTACCTTCCTCCATTACCCCACCACACACACACACACACACACACACACACACACACCACCAAAGATCTCTGAACCATGCACTGACGAAAGAGTTTTATCCAGAGCATTTCTCACCCACGTTACAACCTGATAACTTGATCCATAAACACCTTCATCATGAATACTGTCCTTGTGTGTGGCCACTGTAATGAACTCAACAGCTAAGAAGTAGAGAGTGTTTAGTGTGACAACACATGACATCGAATAGCTAGATGGACAGACACAGTGGCTGCAACAGTAGGCTAGAACATAACGGCATTTGAAAATCAGGCCGTCTTTCCTTCCGGTGTAGCCAGGGTAGCTATACGTTGGTGTAGATACAGTTGCTATGGGCTGGAACGGACATCATATGTAAGAGAGGCCAAGTATGACCCTTGAGTATATTCCATCTACATTGAGAGACCCTCTCAAGAGTAGCTTTGAAGCACTGACGAAGAACTGAAGTGTTGTGGGATGACATCACGAACATCCTACATCAAGAAAGGAAACTGTCATTCACAAGACAAAAAAGAAAAGGAGCACAGTGGGTGTCGGAAGAGCCATTACAACGGAATGTGCAAAAACCCGGAATAAGAAAACCCAGAGGGACTAGCACCCTCAGTAAATCTCCAGCTGGAAAAAAGGAAGAAAAAATTCAAGGCTCAAGTTAGAATCGTGACGAATTCTAGAAGCAAAATACTGGATGATTCATGAAACTTTGAAAGAGGGAAGAGAACAAGTCACTAAACCCCAAGACAGGGTCAGCATACAACAGATCAAGTTGTATTTCTGGGCTGAGGAAGTGCATCTCATCTAAAAATGTGGCGGTGGCTCCTCAGGGGCACAGTGAAGTGCTTGATGGCCAAGCCCAAAGGAGGCCAGTTTACATCCACCTCAAGGGTCTCTGAAAAGGCACCACCTGTAAGTCCCTAAGGAACAGTTCTCCTCTGCACCATTAGGGGTCACCATGAGTCAGAGTGGATTAACGACAAAGAGTTCTGGCCTTTGTCCTGACTCCTGGAGGGTCACCTGTACAACCTAGTAAGGAGTACTGCCTTTGGGACTGAGACTGGGCTTCCTTGGCCTACACCTGACAGTTCATTCTACACTTTACACACCACTAGAGCCACTCAGGCCAGAAAGACACACCACATAATCAGAGATTTGGAGCTTGAGTTTCTAGAGCAGGAAAATATAAAGAGAGTCCTGAGCACTGGCCACAGGAGGAACCACACAGGCACGCAGAGAGGGGCAGGCTGTGAAACCATGGAATTCGGTGGGGGGTTCTGCGGTTATGATGATCCACTTAAACACGTGACAGCAGAAATGAAGACATGACAGTTTAGAGAGCACACGGTCAAGGGCTACACACCACAGCTCTCAGGAGTGCAAAGATGGGGAGACTCAGAGAGAACAGATCTGGGCAGGAGTTTAATAGGAACTTAGGGTGGAGTATATTTTCTGCCATGTTCTTACAGAATTTAGAAACAAACACTGCCATGGAGTGGACACCAACTCATAGCAATCCTATAGGAAAAGGTAAAACTGCCCCCGTGAGTTTCCGAGACTGTATCTCTTTAGGGAACAGAAAGCTCAGACTTTCTCAATAAAAGCCCCTGGTGGTTTGGAACTGCTGACCCTGGGGTCAGAACCACAACATGTGCACACTGCATCACCAGGGCTCCTTTGTCTGTCATGTGCTTAGGAACTAACAATTTCTAAAAAGTGGCAGGAACAGGGAAGACTTGGGACCATGAACTTGCCAGAAAGGACAAACCATTCTAAAAATAAGTGGAGGGATGCATTGTGGGTGGGGACAGGAAGAACTGGTGAGAGGAGATACTCTGGCCCCTGATCTCAGATCTGGCACCCCATACCCGCAGGCGTTAAACAAGTGGCTGCTACAAGACAGGTGAGCAGTTGTGTCCCGAGACGTGGCAATCTGTTCACACTGTAGGATAGCCTACAGTCCCTAAGGAGGAGTCTGAGCTCACACGGCAGCACTAACAGAATCCACTGGAGTGCAACTGAGAACAAAGCAGTGATTAAATGAGTCTTTTATCAGAGACACTTGGATGCACCATTTGGACAGTCAAGTATGACCATGTCGTGAGACACAGAGAACATGTCACTCCATTTTAAATAAGACGATATTTTACCAGGCCAAACAATTCTATTCCTGGGTATTGCTTCGAGTCGAAAGAGTTGTGACACACAAAAATCGGGGCTTTTAGTAGACCACAGCTCTTACACAGTGAAATCAAACAAAGGTGAACAAGAACCACAGTCACGAAATGAAATCAATCCATCAAAAGGCAAAAGCGGGCGAGAGACTTAGAATCTGGTTCCAGGGAAAGTTTCCTACATCCACTGTGATGACTGATAAATGACCAATTTAAACTCTGTGTCACCGTGAAGAATGAAATGCCTGAAAACAACAACAAAAAACACATGTGCTCGCCATGAGGACGTGTGTCATTAAATTGTATTAATGCACACAATCAAAACTCAGACCCCCGTCGATTTGAACACACAGCGACCGTATAGAACAGAGTGGATGGATTTTCACGAGTGTGAATTTTACCTGTGAAGGCTCCTCTTTCTCAGATAAATACACAAAAGGAGCTGAAGGGCAATAAAAGAACTGCTGGATTCCGTAAGTGAGAGGACTAACAAGGAGAAGTTTAGAGTGGACATTAAATCTGAGCCTGCCGTGTTGTAATAGCGAAGTGGGATGGTGGGGAGCAGGTGCACAATGTGACAGGAAACTCAATCCGTATTAAAGTCATTCTCTGGAGTGAGGTTTAGTCGAGAGACGTCTCCAAGTGGGCTCTGCACATCCTGGGGGTACGGTCCAGGATCAGCGGCGACTGGGAGCCGAATCTCGGGAGCTGTATGAGGGCTTCAATTCAGAGCATCCCGGTTTCCCAGGGCCATGGACGGCACATATGACTTGGAATCAACTGATGGAAGTGAGTGAGTTTATACAGAGCTGTGACAGCCTTCGTCCACTTGTGGGGTCCCACATACAGGCAGCCTTCTTGAACTCTGATCATGAACCAAGGATGCAGACCGCCTTGGCGGACGGCAGAGGGCCCGGGAAGGGCATTGGCCCGGCGCCCGTCCAGCCCCCGACCCTGTTCGGTTCCTGGGATGGCTTGCCCCGCGTCGGAAGCACAAGGGCCGGAACCCACCCGCGCTCGGCCTTTCCTGGGTGAGAGGGAGGGTCCCTGGGCAGGAAAACGGGGCTAGGGCGTCCCTAGGCCCGAAGCAGAGGCCGGCGTGGACCTAACCGGAAAGCTCGCGGGGGGCAAGACGACGCGCAGCGGGGCGGGGACCCCGGAACCCGCTGGGCTCCGGACCTGCAGTGGACATCACGGGCCCCATCGAACTAGAGGCAGAAGGACTCACCTACCCCCCGGGGACCCACGCTCGCAGTCGTCTCTGCCCAGAAGCGGGTCGAGCAGGAAATGGCATCATCCAAGTGGGATGGAGGGGCGGGGCCTATAGGTAATTGGCAGGTCTGGGAGTGAGGGGCCCGGGGGCGGGTCCAGGAGGGAGAGGCTATGGGGGCGTGGCCAGGAGAGGGCGGAGTCGGGATGCGCAGAGCAGATGGCAGTCTGGAGAGGAACAGACCGGATCTCCCTGGGCCCCTTACAGAGGCAACTTGAGTGTACCTTGCTGGGTGCCCGTGTAAGTCGTCAGGGTTCTCAGTGGAAGATGAAGGAGAGGACTCTTCGGGATCTTCATTTGCTAATGATAAGCACAGCTGCAACGATCGGCTGATGATCAGAACATGGAATGAGCAAAGGATGAATCTAGGAAAATTGAAACGGGTCACAAATGAAATGGAACCCATAAATGTCGACATCCTGGCCATCAGTGAGCTGACACGGACTGGTATTGGTCTTTTTGATTCAGAAGATCCCATGACTGACTATGCTGGGAAAACACACCGAGAGGAACACCAGGGAATCCATTGTCCAAAAGGACATTGCAACATCCATCTTGACGTTCAGGGCTGCCTGAGATAGGATTCTGTCTATCTGCCTTCGAGGAAATTCCATCAGTACAACCATTATTGAAATGTACCAGCACCAACCACAAAAGCTAATGATGCACAATGTAAGATTTCTTCCAAGGACATCAGCCTGAAATTCATCAAGCATGTGATCAAGATGCATTGATAATTATTGACCATTGGAATACCAGAGTTGGAAACCAAGAGGAAGAAAGAGTATTTGGGAAATATGGACTTGGTGATAGAAACCGAGCTGGAGATTGCACGACAGAATCTTTCAACAACAATGACTGATTCAGAACAAATACATTTTTTCAACAAAACAAAAACGTGATTATACAGACTTCACCCGATGGAATGCACAGAAATCAAATTGACAACATCTGTGGAAATATAGGACTGGGCAGCTAGACATCAACAGATACAACCAGGTGAGGGACTGTCAAACTGACCATCAATTGCCCATATGTAAGTTTGGAAAAAAGCTGACCTCAATTAAACCAAGTCAGTGAGACCCAAGATGCAAACTCATTTATCCCACCTGAATTTCAAGAACATCTCAAACATTTGATGCATTGAACACCAATGGCAGAAGACCCAATGAGCTGTAGGAGGGACATTAAACCCACCATTCATGGGGGAAAGACGTGAAAATCATTAAAAAGAAAGAAAAGATCGTAGGCAAGTGGAGACCAAAAGCAACTGTCTTGCACACCCCTGGCATTTCCAGTCTGGGTTTTTACCTTTCTGACTGACTGTGGACCATGTAACATTCATCTGTGTCCAAACTGCCTAGTCGTCCTGCTTCCACTCCCAGCCCTTTTTCTGAAGTAGATTCTTGGACTCCTAGAGCACATTCGACAAGATTCCAGGAGCTGGGATGGTGAGTACTACAGGGGGTCTGAGAACCAAGGGTAGAGGCTGGTTGGACATAGTGCGGGGCTGTTTACTGCTAGCCCTGAGGTTCCTCAGTAAGTTTAAAGGGTGGCAGAGCAAGCCAAGTGTCTGAGCCCTAAGAGCCATCCTGGGTCCCAGCTCTCCAGTTTTGGGGCTTTTCCCATGGACATAAGTGGTTTTCCACTTAACTTCTTTATGTGACTATTCTGTGCCCCTAAGTGTTGGCATCATAAGGAGTCAACACCCCCATCCTGGGCCTTGGTTCTCTGAGCATAAGGACAGAACTGTACGACCAGAGTCCAGACAGGGAGTTGCAGTTTTTGAGGAAGCTGAGCCCAAGGATCTCCAGAGTCATCCTTGTCCCATTTCTGCAAATAAATTCCTTGGTTCCCCTACCCTGACCCAGTAGCCTTTTAGAACACACTTCTAAAACAACAGTTGTACCTCTCCGACTGTGTGCTGTGGTAGAAAATGGAAGAGTTAGTAGCAGAAGGTGCCGACTCTTCGTAGGGTGGGAAGCAGTGTGGGTATAACTCAAAACAGGGTTGGGTTCGGAGGGTGTGATATTTGGAGAGCTGCTGTCTGCACCGTGAGGGCCATGATTTTTAATAAAAATCATCCACCATCACCCCCTGACATAAAGACCTGGCGGGGAAGTGAGAACCAGGAAGACCATATATGCGGACAAATTCTGTCCCAGGCTCCTATTTAAAAAGCCTGGAAGGCCAGGACTCTGGTGGAGCGAGGCCTTCACCCTTGTGAGTTGGAGAGGAATCTCAGTCACATTCTCCTAAGTAAAAATAACTCCCCACAACGTCCCTCCATAGTAATGCCAATTTTGAGGTGCTTGCAAGGACATGGTTGCTACGATACACGCTTAAAGGTTATCTACTGTAGTATTAAATTAAAATACGTGGGGGAGTGGATGAGGGCCAGCCCCCACCCCCTGCTACTACTCACGAGTTCAGTAAGCACAATTGTATGGTTGAGATATATAAGTATTATATTAAAGTCATCGAGAGCATGAGAGATATTACAATAATGCAGTCAGACACATTACATGGTAGCATTGCTCACCTCAGCCCAGCTTGGTGGACCACGTGGAGAGAGGGGGAAGGGAAGGAGGGCAAGGGAACAAGGGAGAGAGGACTGGAGGGCGAAGAGAGGGGAGTGAGCAGAAAGGAGGGATTCTCTCTCGCTGACCCACGCCTATATCCCTTTGGGGGTGTGCACGCCCACCAATTACAGGTAAAGACATACGTCACAGGAAGGGGTTACACTATAGGTTACACAGTAATGAGGGGTGGTCTAGGGGGTGGTCTCTGGGTCTCCATAGGATCATTATCAGTAGGGTGCAAACTCCTCCTACAGGAGCCTGTCCATTGTCCCCAGAGGCAGGGAGCAGGCCCACCCCTGTGGTGGGATGAGACAGCAGTCTGGCAGCAATAGCAAGGATCTGACCTCCCCCCACAATCTACCATCAAGAGCAATCAGACCTTATTGTCTGTACCACCCTAACAGGACCCACTCCATTCTGATAAGGATCATAGATTGCTTCCCGAGAAAAGCTCAGGGACACTTAGGTCAAGCCAGCCAAGGTTAAGCCACCATCTTAGAGCCCACCTATCTTATTTCACATGTACCTTCCTGTCACATGTATGCCTCTAATACAACCCCTCCCTGTTACACATGTGTATGACATGGTTTGCATGCCTGAGATGATCTAAACGTGTGAGAGAATACATTCTTCTTTCTCTGGCTCCAGTATTCATGGAAAAGGTGATCTGCTGCATACCTTGCCTCATGGTTCTTTAATTTACCCTTCAATTACACAACTACCCCCCTAGGACCCATTCGGTGGTGGAGGCTGGTCTCCCACAGAATCTAGTCCAAGCTCTTCCTCTCACCCTGCGGGCTGACTCCCAATGACCCACTTCCTGCAAACCCATACGTGCTCATTGCTCACTTCTTAAGTGTGGACTACATGGAATGACTGCCTTCTGAAGAGCATTGTTGTTGTTGTTGGGTAGCGTTCAGTTGTTTCCAACCCACAATGTCTTTATGCAAAACAGAAGAGAACTCAGCCTGCTCCAGGCTCTCATCAGAAACCTGGTTGACTTTTTGCTAGTTCCCTGTTACTGTACTATTGCAATTGCTTTTGTTATCCTCAACAAAATTTTGTTTTTATCTGATATTAATAATATTGTTTGCCATTGGACTTCAGACTGAAGCCCCCTAGTGTGAGAAGCAGATGACTACCAGTCCACGGGCACAAAGCTGGCAGACATAGCACTTGGGTTCGAAGCTCTTGCCTTGAGGGTGACCAAAGAATGGTAGCCTGGAATTACCATATAGTTGATCTTTTAATACTCTCCTCGCTTCATTACGATGTTTTAATTTGGTAGGCATGGCTCTGGTGCTGTGAATAAATATCTGCTCTTTCAAAACCCCCGTTGTTTGTGTAAATACTGTCAGTCCATTAAGAGTTTAATCTGCACAGGTCAACAATTCATGAATTGCAGTTCATAGCTGGCCTATACTTGCATAATTTCCTTTTCTCAATAGTGTTTTAAATTCTATACCATAGGGTAAACGACTGGCACTATCAATGCATGGTGGTTACACGTTGGGCTACTAACTGCAAGGTCAGCGGTTCCAAACCACCAGCCAGCTCCTCAGGGGAAGGACAAGGTTTTCTAGTCCTGTGAAGATTTGCAGACTCGGAGATGCACAGGACCAGGTCTATCCTGTCCTGTTGGGTCGTTACAAGCCAGTATTGACCGTGTGGCAGTGGAAGTGATGTCCAAGGGGAATGCTTGATAATGTGCTCTAACATGGAATGACAATGATGTCTTTAAGGTGAAACAGAGACATAGATGTCATAAATATGTGACTATTTGGGGCTTGCACTTAATTTTAGCCCCAGTGGAAGAACAATTAGTTCTTATGACCTGGCTCTGCTTGATGCGCAAACTCATGTCGAGATCACTGAAGAGACGAGTGCTATAGCAAAGTGTGGCTAAGAAACTAGGTGGTGTCCAGATATCAGAGAGAATGGCGTCTAGGGTCTTAAAGGCTTGTTTTCAAACAAGCAGCCATCTACCTGAGGCATCAACTACGTTAGTCCACATGGAAGAAGCATACCAACCTGTATGATCCAAGGATTGTAAATAATGTAATATGAATATAAAGGAGGGAATGACATCAGAGCTTAAACTATGAACCCCTGCTTCACAGAAGGGTGTGGGTGACAGTGGGAGCCCAACATCTGCTGGGACCGGATATGGATCTAGCCTCAGGTGAATCCCCTCCAATCCTAGTCCAGGGATGTGAAGAGCGCTTTAATAAGACAAAGGGCACTGAAAAGTTGATTTCGGCACAGGTAGTTGGATTAATATGTCATATCTTATCATTTGATATCCCTTTTGACACATTTTAAAGCTGTTTCAGGTTGTGGGTTTTTTTAAAGTGAAGGGGAAAATGCATGTCCATTAAGCCCCTGGCTAATCCCTTCTGACCATGGACCAGGGATGTGAATAGCCTAGCTAACATGCAG